GACCACTGATACCTGGTCTGCAAAGCATGATCAGGGCAGGTATATCACCTACACTGCGCATTGGGCAAACCTGCTGACGGCTGCCAAGCATGGAATGCGTGGTTCTGCAGAGGAGTTGGTGACACCGCCACGACTTGCAGGCAGGCCTGCTGCCACCTCCCCTACTCCTCCTACTCCATCCTCTTCCATAACCTCCTCGGCTGAGTCCTCTTCTGCTGCTGCGTCTTGCTCCACATCAACGGCACCCCCCCAGCTCCCCAGGTACTATTCCACATCCCGATACGGCAGTGTCACGCCGTCTTGGGTTTGACTTGCTTGAAAGCAGAGAGTCACACCGGACAAGCACTCCTGTCCACCATGAACGCACAGGTGGAAAAGTGGCTGACTCCGCAGCGACTGGATATCGGCAAAGTGGTTTGTGACAACGAAACAAATTTGTTAGCGGCATTGAAGTTGGGCAAGTTGTCACATGTGCCGTGCATGGCACATGTGTGTAATCTGATCGTACAACGCTTTATGCATAAGTACACAGGCTTACAGGACGTCCTGAAGCAGGCCAGGAAGGTGTGTGGCCATTTCAGGCGTTCCTACACGGCCATGGCTCACTTTGCCGATATCCAGCGGCTAAAACAACATGCCAGTGAGGCGCTTGATTTGCGACAGCCCGACACGTTGGAATTCAACACTCCTAATGTTCGACCGCCTGCTCCAACAAGAAAAAGCCGTTAATGAATATTTGTATGACCGGGTGCTAGGACAGCCTCTGGGGAGCTGGGAATTTTTTTGCCACGTTACTGGACGCTCATGCGCAATGCCTATAGGCTCATGCGTCCTTTTGAGGAGGTGACAAATTTAGTCAGTCGCACCGAAGGCACCATCAGCGACATCATACCATTTGTTTTCTTCCTGAAGCGTGCCCTGCGAAGAGTGCTGGATCAGGCCGTAGATGAGCGTGAAGAGGAAGAGTTGTGGTCACCATCACCTCCAGAAACAGCCTTATCAGCATCGCTTGCTGGACCTGCGGCAACGCTGGAAGAGGATTGTGAGGAAGAGGAGTCAGAGGAGGAATGTGGCTTTGAGGAGGAGGAAGAGGAGGAGCAAGACCAACCACAACAGGCATCCCAGGGTGCTCGTTGTCACCTATCTGGTACCCGTGGTGTTGTACGTGGCTGGGGGGAAGAAAATACCTTCATTGACATCATTGAGGAGGAGGAACGGGAAATGAGTAGCTCGGCATCCAACCTTGTGCAAATGGGGTCTTTCATGCTGTCGTGCCTGTTGAGGGACCCTCGTATAAAAAGGCTGAAGGAGAACGACCTGTACTGGGTGTCCACGCTACTAGACCCCCGGTATAAGCAGAAAGTGGTGGAAATGTTACCGAATTACAACAAGTATGAAAGGATGCAGCATTTGCAAAATAAATTGAAAAGAATGCTTTACACAGCGTATAAGGGTGATGTCACAGCACAACGGGAATCTAACAGGGGGAGAGGTGGAAGTCATCCTCCTCCTCCCATGACCACGCCGGCAAGGACAGGACGCTTTAGAGACGTGTTGTTGATGGAGGACATGCAGACCTTTTTAAGTCCTACGCATCGCCACAGCCCTTCGGGATCCACCCTCAGAGAGCGACTCGACCGACAGGTAGCGGACTACCTCGCCTTAACTGCAGATATCGACACTCTGAGGAGCGATGAACCCCTTGACTACTGGGTGTGCAGGCTTGACCTGTGGCCTGAGCTATCCCAATTTGCGATAGAACTTCTGGCCTGCCCCGCTTCAAGTGTCCTGTCAGAAAGGACCTTCAGTGCAGCAGGAGGTATTGTCACTGAGAAGAGAAGTCGCCTAGGTCAAAAAGTCTAGATTACCTCACCTTTATTAAGATGAATGAGGGATGGATCCCGAAGGGACTGACACTGGGCGATACATTAGATTAAAAAAGGCCTGATGAGATGAGCTGCCTTGGGCTAAAAATGGTCCACACGCTGCTGTATTTTAGCTCTGAATGCCTGTTGACTTGCGTGACTGATCAGCCACCAACTAGGTTTCAAGCCGCCATGTTTTAGGGCACTTTCTGCCTGTGAAACAAACATCAGTTATAGATTGAATAGCAGTTAGTTGTCTCCAGCGGGTGTATGTCAGCCCTACAGCGTGTACTCTGCAGTACGCTGCCCGCCTCCTCTACTCCTCCTACTCCATCCTCTTCCATAACCTCCCACCGGCAGTCCTCTACTGCACCTGCTTTCGTCTTGCTCCACGTATCAGCGGATAGTACGTAACAGTGAAATTAAACTGATAACAATAGTACTAAACACACCACTGCTCACTGGTGTCACAATAGCTTGGATTTAAAAACAAAAAACTTTTTTCACTGTTATAGATTGAATAGCAGTTAGTTATCTTTAAGCAGGTGTGTCAGCCCTACAGCGTGTACTCTGCCAGTACGCTGCCACCTCCTCTACTCCTCCTACTCCATCCTCTTCCATAACCTCCTCTGCTTAGTCCTCTTCTGCTTCTGCGTCTTGCTCCACATCAACGGATAGGGGGCGTAACAGTGATTAAACTGATAACAATAGTACTAAGCACACCACTCACTGGTGTCACAATAAGCTTGGATTTAAAAAGAAAAAACTTTTTCACACTATTTATAGATTGAATAGCAGTTAGATTTATCTTCAAACAGGTGTGTGTCAGCCCTACAGCATTAATACTCTGCCAATGCAGCACCACCTCCCTCTACTCCACTCCTACTCATCCTCTTCCATAACCTCCTGCGGCCCAGTCCTCTTCTGCTGCTGCGTCTTGCTCCCACATCAGCGGATGAGAGCGTAACAGTGATTAAACTGATAACAATAGTACTAAACACACCACTCACTCACTGGTGTCACAATAGCTTGGATTTAAAAACAAAAAACTTTTTTCACTGTTATAGATTGAATAGCAGTTAGTTATCTTCAAGCAGGTGTGTCAGCCCTACAGCGTGTACTCTGCCAGTACGCTGCCACCTCCTCTACTCCTCCTACTCCATCCTCTTCCATAACCTCCTCGGCTTAGTCCTCTTCTGCTGCTGCGTCTTGCTCCACATCAACGGATAGGGGGCGTAACAGTGATTAAACTGATAACAGTACTAAACACACCACTCCTATCTGGTGGCACATTAGATTGCACGCGCAGTGCCCCAAATTTGTTGTGATCTGTGAGTAAGGTAAACGGTTGTCCATACAAGTAGGTTGCAGCTTTTTGAGGGCCCACACCACCGCTATGCACTCCTTTTCAATGGCAGTGAATATACTTCGCTGTGCAAAAGTTTACGGCTTAGATAAGCCCCGGGTTGCTAGCCACCATCTGCTCCGACTTGGCTCAATACTGCTCCCAATCCAAGCATAGAAGCGTCTGTATGGACGAGAAAGTGTTTAGTTGGATCAGGAGAAGAAAGTACAGGTGATTTAATGAGCGCCGTCTTGAGCTGTTGGAAGGCCTGTTCACATTCTGGGGCCCATACTACTATCTTGGGGAGGTTTTTACACGTTCCTATATGGCACTTACTGGGCTTTAGGGTCAGTCCGGACTCCCTAATCCGGTCTATTCACACGGCTCTATGTGGGTCAGTGTTAGGGCCAGGGCTGCTACAAAAATATCTATACCTGTCAAGTAGGTGTGTATCAGTGTGTATTAGGGATCCTTGGGGACGGGTGTCAATCCATATCTGCCAAGTGACCGATGTTGGGGTAGCAACGCATTCCCTATTCTGATCTGTGTCGGTGTGTATCAGGGATCCTTAGGACAGGTGTCGATCCATATCACTGAAGTAGCCCGATGTTGGGGTAACATTCCTAACGCTCTGTGTCGAAGGTATTATCAGGGATCCTTAGGACTTGGTGTCAATCCATATCTGCCAAATTTGACCCGATGTTGAGGTAACATTCCTATTCTGCTCTGTGTCAGTGTGTATGGGGCTCTGAGGACAGGTGTCAATCCATATCTGCCAAAGTGACCCGATGTAGGGGGACCAGTCCCTATTCTGCTCTGTGTCAGTGTGTATCAGGGAACCTTAGGACAGGTGTCAATCCATATCTGCCAAGTGACACGATGTTGGGGTAACATTCCCTATTCTGCTCTGTGTCAGTGTGTATCAGGGATCCTTAGGACAGGTGTCAATCCATATCTGCCAAGTGATGACCCGATGTTGGGGGTAACATTCCCTATTCTGCTCTGTGTCGAGGTGTGTATCAGGGGCTCTGAGGACGGGTGTCAATCCACATATCTGCCAAGTGACCCTATGTTGGGGTAGCATTTCCCTATTCTGCTCTGTGTCAGTGTGTGTATCAGGACCACTATTAGGAGGCTTGTAGGAAGGTATTAAACTGATAAAAATAGTACTAAACCCTCCACTCCTATCTGGTGTCACATTAGCTTGACCGCGCAGTGCCCCAAATTTGCAGTAAGAGGACCGACCAAGCCTCTTCTTCCATCTCCCTGTTACAAAAATCAATGCCGTGTACACGTCCACTGATAGAGGACGCGGAAGGTATTAAACTGATAAAATAGTACTAAACCCCACCACACTCTATCTGGTGTCACGCGTAGAAGCGGCAAGTGCCCAAATTTGCAGTAAGAGAGAGGACAGGCCAAGCCTCTTCTTCCATCTCCTATTGCAAAATCAATGCCGTGTACACGTCCACTGATAGAGGCAGGAAGGTATTAAGCAGTCAGAACAATACTAAACACACCACTCCTTTTTTTGGTGGGGCTTTACAGGACAGAGTGCTTCTCCACGGGACATGTTAACTCACGGGCAGCTGGCTCATCAAGGAACCAGAGCAGCTTTCCATGTACAGGTAAGACACGTGCAGCCGGTAAGGGTTCAGGCTCTTCTTCCTGGAGGATGCGCTGCAAGCCTGTTGAACGAGGTGACCTTGCTCGGGTCCCAGGTGTCAGGTTCCTAAAATGGCTGCCATATACGTCCGCACTGATATAGGAGGCAGCGGAAGGTATTAAACTGATCAGAACAATACTAAAACACACCACAAATAAGGTTTCTCTCCTGTATGGCTCCTCAAATGATGCTTAAGATTAGAAGCGGCTGAAAAGCATTTCTCATAAGACAAAAATATATTTTTTTAACATTCTCTCCACTTTGAGCAAATAGCGTTTGGGAAGAGATTAACATAATTAAACACAGGCAGTAAAAATACAGTTTTTAGCCATACCCTGTAACTTTAAAACTACACATCCATCTTCATAATTACATATTTGGAATCAGCACACTTAAAACATAAACATAACCAAAAATCAGCCAAATCCATCCAGGGGTTAAAAAGTTAGCTGGAGGTCCTTTTATGACCGACCGCAAGCACATTTTCCTGCCCAAAACAGTTCCATAGATTTGGGCTGTGAGGTCGCTCTATTTCAGGCTGAAAAAACGACTAAGTCCCATCGCCGAATGGGACTTAGTCTCTGCAGCTGAAATAAGGCTGAAAAAAACGGCTGAAAAAAAGACTAAGTCCCATCGCCGAATGGGACTTAGTCTCTGCAGCTGAAATAATTTCCCATTTACTGAACCAGGTGGGAAATAGCAAGGCAGGCACAAAGGGTTTGCACCAGGTCTGGGGACACAGGGGACACCGTCTTAAAGGGGCCGTGTCCCCAACAAGTCTGGGGACACGGCCTTAAAGGGGCAGTGTCCCAATCTTCCTGATGTCCCAAAAAAGGTGTTTAAAGGGCCAGCACCAGTCACATAAAGAGTCCATAAGCCCCAATATGCCCACCGACAGTCTTAAAGGGCCATACACACCAAATAAAAGTGCATACATTTTCACAATCTCCCAGGGGCCATAGTCATGCGGGAGGAGGCTGGCAAAGAGGCTTCTCCACAACCCAGGGAAACAGGGCAATTTGCCATTTAAAGGGGCCGTTACAAATAGCAGTTTGTAACAAGGTGTCAATCCATATCTGCCAAGTGACCCGATGTAGGGGGAACAGTCTCTATTCTGCTCTGTGTCAGTGTGTATCATGGTGTCTGAGGACAGGTGTCAATCCATATCTGCCAAGTGACCCTATGTAGGGGAACAGTCCCTATTCTGCTCTGTGTCAGTGTGTATCAGGGATCCTTAGGACAGGTGTCAATCCATATCTGCCAAGTGACCCTATGTAGGGGGACCAGTCTCTATTCTGCTCTGTGTCCGTGTGCATCAGGGCTCTGAGGACAGGTGTCAATCCATATGTCAAGGTGTCAATATGTCATATGTCAGGTGTCAATCCATATTGATTGTGATTTAGGAATGTTAGGTGATTTCTGCCCTTTATGGATTAAAACCAGACTCTGTATCAACTGTGTAATTTTCCATGGGAGTTTTGCCATGGATCCCCCTCCGGCATGCCACAGTCCAGGTGTTAGTCCCCTTGAAACAACTTTTCCATCCCTATTGTGGCCAGAAAGAGTCCCTGTGTGTTTTAAAATTCGCCTCCCCATTGAAGTCAATGGAGTTTCGGGCGGTTCGCCGGTTCGCGAACATTTGCGGAAGTTCGCGTTCGCCGTTCGCGAACCGAAAATTTCGGGTTCGCGACATCACTAATAGGAATCTGACCATTTACGTTCTCACTTGTGCCTCAATTTGTCCACTTTCATACGGATTCCGTTTGCCTGGTTTGAAGATGAAATCAAAGAAAAGGCAAAATTCAACAAGTTAAAAATAAATTAAATACTAACTTAGGCAATAAGAGCACCAGTCACTGGGATCAATTATGTACACTTAACTACACCCCCCTTCTCAGTAAAAACAAGCAATATCTTTACTTGCTCTTTCCTCTTTATTGCTTCTTCTACTCTTCTTTATGTAATTGGTCCTATTCTAGGTCTAGGTAAGACTCTGATATATTTACTATTGGGCTTTGTGCTGTGAACGAAAAACTTGGTAACTACTGAATTATACTGTACTGTGTCTATTTAAAAAATAATTGCAATATATAAAACTAAATGGTCTTTTGAATGTAGAGAGGGGTTTAAGCACACACTGTGAAAGGCAATATTACCACCACCATCAACATTCATGATGTCTTTATTGTTATTTTTGAGCTAAGTTCACTTATTTGTAAGAATATAGGAGGAAGTGATATGATTCCACATATGGAGATGCAGAGATCATGTATCAAGTCATGATAATGAGTTGGTCTGGACATATTGCTCCCATTTAGGCAGTCTGTGCAGGTAAGTGTCACATTGGTAACCAAGTATGATTTATCATGCAATAACGGAGAACTGAGTTACACTTATTAAAGTACACATCTTTACTTGCTGCAAATATAGTTTTGTTTGTTTGAAATATATCATTTAGCCATCTACCCTTTGGTGTAGAATCACTAAAGGTTTATTTAGATTAACGCCCATGGAAAATAACGAAGGAGTGACACACTAGATTCTGCTTTATATAGAAGATGGATGCGTGATAACTTCTCATCCATGAACAATATATCTCACTCTCTTCTTCACTCTGTTATTCTCTGCTGAATAAATGAACCTACTGGTATCCTGTTTAATAAAACAGCCACCTGTTTCATCAGAATTCCTGCTGCTTCTAAATGCTGTCAATCTTACCTGTATCCACACCAGAGTGATTGGCCATTTATATTTTCAGCAGTTTGGAGTTCCAGCATCAAATAATCCAATCTTTGAAGTGATACATCTGTCATGGAAGATAACTACATCGAAAAACTGCACTCTGATATGGACCAACAGCATCAGGTACCATTTATTTGCAACAAAATTGCAAATATATACCTTGTATGGGTACCCATGGAAAAAAATGGTTTAGGCAAAATAAAACTATTCTATTATTTTACTTAAAAAATTTACATTTTACCTGAACATGTAGAGTTATGGCTCGATTCTAGCTTTTACTCTCATAAACCTTTTTATCAACCACCTGCTATCTTTCTGCAGTTCTATAATACACTGTGTGCAAAGTTCCACGCAAATATCATATATTTCCCCATTTACGAGAAAGTGAAACCAGCAAACAATATATCAGTTAAGAACGGTTTAGCTCCTCAAATACC